CCCCCTCCTCCTCCTCCTCCTCCCCTCCTGCTTCTCGTCGTCCTCCCCCTCGTCCTCCTGCTCGTCCTCCTCCTCCTCCTCCTCCTCCACATCCTCCTCCTCCTCATCCTGCTCCTGCTGCTGCCACAGCGACACTGTAGACTCAAGCAAAGCAGCCAAGAGGAATGTGGAGAGCAGGGATGTAGAAACACCTTCGCCTTGGAGGGGGCGATGGTGCAGCGGGTTACAGGGCTTTTTGACAGCGATGCGAAGCGAGGTCTGTGTGCCGTGGAGGTTTGATTTTTAGGACGAATGGCTCTGAACCCTATCCGACCTTATCCACCACCCAGAACGCCCGGAATCTTTGGTTAAGCTGTGGACTTGTTACCATGGTTCAGCAAGTATTTCTCCAACATTTGCATATGGAAGTTCGCTTTGAAACAACCGATGCGAGCACGACCCCCTCCTTCCCCCCTCCTCCCCAGCAACACCACTACACGTACCCGCATCTCTGAATGCCAAAGTCAAAAAAAACACAGGCCGGGTCGCAGAAGGTTCAAAGATGCTGAAACATGTGGGTGGTTGTCAAAATTATGGTCCCTTTTGGGGTCCTTATTATAATACGGCACCTAATATTTAGGGTACCCAAAAAGGGACCCTAATTTTGACAACCACCCATGTGCGCGAAGAAGGGTTTGCAAGGACCAGCGAGGAAGCACGTTGACTCAAACATGATGCGGTAGAACAGTAATTGCGGGGGATGTTGTTTAGGCCTAACAGTCGTGTGCTGGACTCGAAGATCTCATAGCAGGCATGGCAAGCCTCCGCTTTCCGGGGTGCTTCGATTACTGGAGGGTTCAGGGTTTTTTGAGTTCAGGGTGTAGTTAGGCCAGGCTGTAAGATTCATGACGTAGGGTTTGGGGTCGAATCTTTAAGTTCAAGGGGCAGCTAGGGGGCCTGGAACTCCCAAACCAAAACCACAAAGCCCCGTATGCTGGGTCCCCTTATACCCTAAACCCTAAACCCTGAACCCTAAACCCTATAACCCTGACCCCTAACACTGAGTCTGCTGCCCAGGGCCAGCATAAAGCTGACAGTGACCGTCAGGACGGTGGCCGAGATTAAAGCTGGCACAGGGACTCATCGACTTTCGGTTTGGGGGTTAGGGTTTAGGATTTATGGGATTAGGGTTTAGGATTTAGGGGTTTAATATTTAAGGTTTAGGATTTTCTGTTTAGAGCCACCAGTTTAGGGTTTAGGGTTTAGGGCCTTCCAAAAATCCTACCTAAAGACCCTGCTACAAGAACCCCCCTCCTACAATCCCACAGATCCCTTGGTGGATGAAACTCGACCCTCCTTGTCCTGCCTGTGTTCATCGGGTTCTCTGCAGCCTTGGCCTGTGCTTGTGCCGACACCGGCTTGGGCTTAATCCTTGGGGGCCAAGAAGCATTTGAGGCTATGGAGGAGGGAGACAAAGGGCCTTAATCCTAATATTAATAGTAATAACAATAATAATAATAATAATAATACTAATAATAGGATACTAACAACCCTTTTTTGAGCAATAGCAGCAGTATTCATAAGGGTTTTTGCTCAGTGATGTGTGATATGGAGCCCCGGCGAATATGACTGCCCTTCATCACAACATGTTGTGCAAGAAGGCTGAAAGTCTATAGGATGATACGGGTGCTCAACCGGCAGTCCGCAGGGTTCCCGACGAAATGGAAAGGAGAGCTTGCACAAGCAACAGACCCCCAAGACAAATGAGCGATCGAGGCACCTCCACTGCCGCAGACCTAAGGAAGTGTAGGTGCCTGATTAAAATAAGTCTTACTGGTATATTGGACCGTAATCATGTAAGACATTCTGGCATTATGGCTAATCAGTCCGACTCCTGTAGCAGCTGTTTACTTATTAGTGGTCTTGCGGCAGACCGGCTGGCTCGTCTCGCTCCCACTTCCTACCCATGCAAGCTGCAAAACAGCGCGCTCAACCCGAATGCGACGTCGATCCTTAATTCAAACGCCTAGCTGCGGCGTGGGCTGTGGTGGTGGAGGCATCGTCACCTTCAGCTCAGTGCGATGGCGAAGCCGGCTTAGGATTTACTATGTCTGGGGGTCTTAGGCTTCGGTTTCGGGTTTCAGGCTGAAGGCATCCCTGATCCCTCGGCATTTCAACGTCCTTGGGCTTCAGGGGCAGCCGATGCCCCTGTCGTCTCCAACCTATAAAGAGCTTGTGGGTTCCTTGCTCACCATAGTTCAGGTCCATGAGTCCCCCACATTGTTGCCGCCGCGGCAGCAAACGATGCTGCGGGACACGATATCACCAGCCTGATCCGGATCCAGGCTAGCCGTTGAATTAGTTAGCAAGTTGCGTGCCCGCTGCTCCAGGGCTTCAACATACAGATTTCGGTTTGGGGCTTCGAGCTCGTAGGGCCGGCGTGCGGTAGGGCTTTTCTGAGAACTCTCGGCTCTTCCCAAAAAAAAACTCTGGGACTCAATTGGTGGCCCTCAAAATCATTCACCCGAGGTCCTCGCAAACCCGACCGACCCCACACTGCGAAAGTTTAAACACAAATCGCGCCCCAGCCCATCCCTTTCTGCCGAGTCCTCGCCCTTGTCCAGAGCGCCATAGAGGTTGTCCAGCAACGCAGCTGCCTTGCCTGCAGACGGTTCGTGGCTAGAGTTTGGCATTTGGGCTTCGGTCCGATGATTGTATTACTGTAAGGTTCCGGATGAAGCATCCGGGGGTTGGGGGGGGTGCGCCTTGAGCTCCTAAGGTTTCGGCATCACGAAATTGGCTAGCGAATTCGATAGCAGCTGCCATTGTTATGATGCTTCTTAGCCCGTGTTCTGCGATTAGCACCACGCCTGGGGTCGAGAGTTCACGGCCGACGTGTCTTGTTGGGCACTCCGCGCGCGATCGCGTGGATAAGTTGTCAATACGACAGATCTGGCCAAACATCTCAACAGCCCCAGATGCATAAGCTTCCACGAATCCCTGGTAAGACAAGATGACAACTTAGAGGGTGAAGTCTTGTGACTTATGCATGCTCAAACGTCATGCTTGCTGCTGCCATTCTCATTCACGTAGATTTGGTTTTGTTGATGCTCACCTTGGCTTGGAAACGATGGTTGTCTGCTGCTGCCTTGATCGAGGGGAGCAGAATCGTGGCACTGACCTTCGGTCGTACTTTGTAAAAAAAGTTCTGGTGCTTACTACAACGAAAAGTCATGTCCAACTCATGCTGTTAGTCGTAGCAGCAGCAGCAGCAGCAGCAGCAGCAGCAGCAGCAGCACCAGCAGCAGTAGCTGAGGCGGTGCAACGTGGTGGTTGTGGTTGTGGTGGTTGTGGTGGTTGTGGTGGTTGTGGTGGTTGTGGTGGTTGTGGTGGTTGTGGTGGTTGTGGTGGTTGTGGTGGTTGTGGTGGTTGTGGTGGCCGTGGTGGCGGCAGTGTCGACAGCGGTGGTGGTGGCGGCGGCGGCTACCGTGGCAGGCTTGAGTGGGGCAGTTCAATGTAGTCCAGCTACATTACGGTGAACATGATGATGGTGGTGACAAGGATGATGCTAATGATCATGGTGATCATGACGATGATCACGACGTTGACGATGCTGCTAGTAAGTAACGATTGTAGCCATCACTCCTTCATCGTGAACGTGTGTTGGGAACCCAACTGAGAATAAACCCCCACGCCCGCCAGTCCTTTGTCGTGGATGTGCTTCAAGAGGTTTGACATGTTCTGGGCATACATGGCGCTGGCCTGCTCGAAAAGTGACAGCCAATTATAGGATTTCTGGCGTAGAAAATAGATGACCCAAAGTGGCAAAAGATGCCCTAAATTGGGCATACAGAATTTCACCAGGTCTTCTGCTACGAGATCAGAACGGAATGATCTTGCGAAGCACTCCACGATGCATCCGAGCAGAGCCTCGGAAGCTAGGGGATACGAAGCCAAACTTCTCGAAAAGCAGAAACGACAAATCAGGAGCTGGGGCCCCTGTCACTGCCTGTTCAGGCATGCGTGCCGGCAGGTTCGCATATCCAATGATGGTGACCCCATTCCTTGGCCCAGGCACTCGCAATCCGCTTCCGAGTAGAAAATCAAGAGGGCCGGGGCATGGTACCTTCATCATGCAGCTGTAGTATAAGGGGCCTAAAGAAGAATACTATTTTGGGGGTTCCTTATTGTAAGTAAGTATAGTCTATTGGGCCCCAAAACCCTATTCTAATTCTTAAGGCCCCTACATTAGCTGCAATGTGGCTCCCCGATTTAGCTGCTGTAGAATCCTCTGGAATTCAGAGCTTACCCTTGGAGGATTATGGCCCTTGAACCACTCCCACGAGCCGAAGAGAAGGCAAAGTCTGGCAAGCTTCGGGGTGACGATGGTCTCGTTCAGCCTGGGCTGTGCAAGAAGGCTGTCATTGGAAGGGGGATTTAGGGGTTTAGGTTTTAGGGTTTAGGGGTTTAGGGTCTAGGGGGTTTAGGTGGGGGCTACTCAATGACCTAAACCCTTCACCGATTCTCACCTAATCTAACCCCGAATCACAAGCTGAGAACCCCACATCCTTGGGCATGGAGGTTGCTGCTTCTGGGCTACATGTCCGGGATGTGTGGCAAGTTGGACAGATACCACCGTAGCGCTGACGGGATCCCAACGACCCCTTTCAACTGCAGCAGGCTTGTAATGTAGAGGGTTTTTGGGGCCCATTATACTATAACTACAAAAAGGAACCCCTTAGATAGCATTGGGGGGCCCATTTTGCTATAGCTACAAGAAGGAACCCCCAAGATAGCATATAGGTAATCACTAAAAGGCCCCCCTTTTTTTCTCGCACCCCGAAGCTTCAGGCTCAAAGGACTGGGCTTTGCTGAGGCCAACAGTGGCTTTGGGTGCCCGGCCAAGCAGGGGAGGGGCGGTTTAGGGTTTAGGGTTTAGGGTTCAAAGGATGTTGTCAAGCGCTACTGTTGATTATATAGATCCTGCAGTGCCTTAAGGACCCCAAACCATGGGAAGTATGGTAGATTCCTTAATGGGTAATTTCGGGATTTATATCATCAACCGTAGCAATGTCACCAAGTGCCATTCTTTTTGCAATAATACTACGTACTTGGCAAACGGCACATCCCCAATCACAAGTGTATGATCACAATCTCTCACACACAATCGTAGTAAAAGCCAATATGGCCAGCAGGCAAGAGCAGCGCTGGTGGTTCGAATAACACTCCGAAGGACCCCTGAAGCCGAGTTTGTGTTTGGGCCCCGCTTTTATTTAGAGCGATCTGAACCAGAAAACCGTACCAAACTCTGACTTCCTATGAGGCAGAAGCAACCAACCCAACAAGGCCTAAATCTTCAAACATCCTTCGTCCTTTGCGGCTCAAACTTAGATCTGATATGGGGCCTTGACCATTAGAATAGGCTTAGTGGGGGTATATTGGAGTATATTACACAACTGTATACTCTTTACTTATAAGCATGTATACTGCAGGGACTATGGGTGAATAATGTTTCTGAGGATTCAGATGCCCAGCAGCTTTGTCAGCTCACAGTTGCCACCACCCACTGCTGCCAAATCCACGACTACGCTGCCCGGCTTCATGACATCCAACGCATCCTTTTACGGCTTAGGGTTTAGCGGGGAAGGGCTCATCAAAGGACTTGACGATCTTGGGCTGAGGGTCAGGGTTTAAAAAGTGGCCCGCGGCTCGACTGCCGCTGTTACTGCTACTCCTTGTCATTACGCTGTTGCTAGCAGCACCACCTCCAGAACGACCATATCTGCTGATGATGCCGGCGATCTTATGAACTACAGTAACTACAGATGCTCCAGATCCTGGTCCTGACCCATCAGCCACAGGACCTTCCTCCCTCCACTCAAAACCAACCCCCAAAAAACACCAGCCTTGGTGATGAGGAGGGGGCTCGGGCGCCCCGGAATGGCGGCAGTGCTGATGGCGATGTCGCACTCCTCCGGGAGACAGACAGAGATTCCTTCCTTGTCCATCAGGGAAGACCCCAACCCCACACCCTCGGGACCTAACAAGAGACGAGAACGGACCGGCGGTGAGGTCTTTAGGATTTCGGGAGGGTCTGCGACGTCAGGATTAAGTCGAGGAATGTGCTCGTTGTTGCGAGGCTCTACTTCAACAGATAAAACATATGTGGGAGTGTCAGAAGATAGCGGATTAGAAAATTATAAGGACCTTAATGAAGAACCCAGATCCTCACGGTAAGGAATTATAAACAGGGTACCCCCTTCCAAAACTCCCATGTGTGCTCCTGAGCTGCTCCACCAGCCCCTTAAAAACACTCCTTACGGAGTCTCCCGAACCCCACAATGCTATCTAACCCTGATAGAAACCCTTGATAACCCTTCTAGAAACCCTATAATGCCCTGCTAGCAAACACATATATATGGTCCACAGAAACCCTTGATACCCCTTCTAGAAACCCCACAAAGCCCTTCTAGAAAACCCCCCAATAGGGTCCCCCACTGCTTAGCGTATCCGAAGCCATCTCCTTGAGGACCTGCTTGAAGGTCTCCTGCTGCACCTGCAGGGTTTGGGTTTAGGGTTTAGGGTTTAGGGTTTAGTGTCTAGGGTTTAGGGCTTACCTGTGGCCCAACAGACCTATCGCTTTAAGGAACTATATATAGAAACCACAATAAGGAACCCTAAAACGGTAGGTCTTTTCGGCTACAGGTTTGGGGTTGAGGGTTGAGGGGTTTTCGCTTTAGGCAATGGCTCGGGTATGGCTCCAGGTCGATTGGAACACTTCAGGGTTTGGATTTCAAGGGTGTGGATCAGTAATAGATTCCTTGATGGTCCCAATATAATTATGATGTGATATACCCCAAAACCGCATTATCCAAATCTGGATCATGGTATAACAGACCTGCAACTCCAAGCCCAAGAGGATGCTGGCGTTTGCTGGCGTGGGCGTCAGACAGGAGCCTTAATCAGCAGGGTTTTGGAGTATGTTTTGAGCATATTCAAAATTCGGGAAGTTTACTGGTTTGGACTTCTATACTAGGATGTAGGCTTCACATAATGTAGGAGCCTTAGTAATCAGAATAGGATTTTTTCGGGCAAACTATGCTATAAAAAAAAGGAGGAACCCCCAAAATAGTACTGGTAATTATTTAGGCCCCTATTTAGAGCTTCAGGGCCTGAAATGACTATACTCAAAATTCCCACCCACCCGAGAAAAGGCCCTGGCACCTTCTTGAAAGCGTCCGAGGACTCCTTGGCGTAGCCACCTTGGCCCTCACCACTCTCCTTGAAGTCCACCTTCACCCACTTTGCGCCCATGGAGTGCACCTGTGACGAGTTACGGGCTGTGATTTCAGAGCGTATATTATCACCATCGCCATCATCAGCAGCAGCGGCGTCAGCATCGAAAACAAGTAGGAGGTACGAATCCGAGCAGCAAGTGCCTGCAAACAGCAACGTGCTCTGCTTCGGCATACGTCCATGAACACTGGCATAAATAATGCGCAAATGCTCCACCTCATCCAGTTGGTGCACAGCAAACATGGCATTCACGAGAAGACTGCAATCAAAGTATGGCGAGAGTGACTCGTGGCAAATGGTACAAGTCGCAAAAAGCGAATCACGGCTTTAGCAACAGCACAACAAAGGAAGTTCAACTCAGAACCATCGCTGCAGCAACGACAAAATCTTCTTCTTCACATTATCACTACCATCGCTATCATCAGCGACAACACCATCATCATCATCATCACCATCGCAGCAATAATCGCAGATTTTCAACCAAAACGAAAAAACGTGATACTTGCACCAGCAATAATTGTGTTTGTAACCGTCAACATCATCATCACGCAAGGCTTCAATGGCTTGTTGGCTCCCACCTGGTCAGAGACGTCGCGCACGTCCCATGCTCGCACCTGGGCGTTTCCCAGGTGGCAACTAGCCCCTTAAAACCCAAGGTAGATGCGAAACCCCGAAACCTCGAACCCACCAGCGTACAGACTTAGATCCCTTATAGAAACTTGTAAGAGCCCTGACAGATCCACCTTCTGAGATCCTTCTGCTTCCAGAACCCAGAGACTCCAATATCCTTTAACTAAGGAATAAACCTGAAATATTATGAGAATTCCTGCTATGATTTAAGGGTATATGCCTTAATTAAGGGATATTGGAGTCTCTGGGAACCCTGACTTTCGTGTCCGGGGCACCACGGATCCCAGAGCCTTGGAGGTGCCGATGGCCGCGAGCCCGGCCACGCCGCAGCCAAGGACGAAGGTCTGCGCCGGCCTCGGGGCTCGAAGCTTTCGGGTTTAGGGTTTAGGGCCTATAGGGTTTAGGGTTTAGTTTAGGGGTTTCGGGTTTAGGGCCTATAGGGTTTAGGGTTTCGTTTAGGGGTTTAGGGTTTAGGGCCTATAGGGTTTAGGGTTTAGTTTAGGGTTTAGGGGTTTCGGCTTTAGGGCCTATAGGGCTTAGGGTTTAGAGCCTATAGGGTTTAGGGTTTGGGGGGGTTTGGGGCCTGTAGGGTTTAGGGTTTAGGGTTTAAGGCAGTTTAAGGGCAAGTTTAGGGGTTAGAGCTGTCGGGGACCCAGGGCTTGTAGAATTAGGAGCAGCTGCTTCTCTATTTTGAGGGCCTTTGCTGGCTTTGGGGGTTTATAGGGCTTTGGGGATTTAGGGCGGCTTTGGACTCATACGGCTTTCAGCAAATAGGGCTGCCCGGGCTTTGGGGGCTTTCGCATGTGAGGGTTCAGGGCTTGCATGGGATTTCAGGAAGGCTCCTGAGATCCGAGTTGTAACAGCAGCATCATGTCAGGAGTAGAAACGCCGTACAACACTAGGTACCATTGACACTGTAGCTAGTGCTAGTACTCAGACCTGAAATGCCATGTCCCGCTAAACAGTTCGGCAACAATGGGTCAGCTGAGAGGCGGGTATTTGCCTGCCGCCGTCATCTCGGCAGTGTGGAAGCGCTGGTAAGAGTGTGCCTTGGGAGCTGCGCAAGCTGATGCCGATGCCAGAGCAGCAGGCACATTGAGACATCCACCCGGCAACCCCAGACCTTAAACGCTACGACCAGGTTTTAGGGTTTAGGGTTTAGACCCCGAAATCCCGAAACCTCAGCAAACCCCTGCCTTGTCGAAGAGCAAAGGCCAAAAGAGATTCTGTGAAACGTAAACCTTTTGCAAAACGGAAGCTCTCTTTGGTTTGGGAACTCTGGTGGCATGGTGGGAATTGTGGGTGTAGGATCCAAGATTCAGGATTGAAGGTCGAAACAACTTCCAGGGCTTTTGATGGATTTCAAACGAGGATTCTATCAAATTTGCTGTCGAACACAGGAACCCTTTTAGAGCCCTCGACTCCCAAACCCTGAACCCATCAAATACGCGTACAATCCCCGTTAAGATCGCCAAACCCTCTTGCCGCTCCCCTTTTCCAGACCGGGTTGCTGCTTCCAGCACGGCCCGGTGCCCAGCCACTTTGGCCTGGGAGCTAAGAACGTCCAGCCTCGGATGCCGAAAGGCCTCTGGCTTTTTGGGAAGTTTAGGAGTTCGAGAGTTTCGAGGTTTGGGACGTAGGGGTCAGGGCGGTTCGGGTACTAGGCCTACCAAGGGGTTTGATGATTCTTCAAAGGGTTTGGGGTCAACCCTGAACCGGCTCACCGCGTGAAACCCCAAGCCAGTCCCGCACCATGGCCCACACAGCCAACGTGCCTGTACCGCATCACATGCGTTTAAGCGAAAGCCGTGAAACTTCTGGGCGATGGTGATGCGAGGAACCGCAGTGACCTGAGCCAGCTAGAGAGCAGGGAAACAGAAAAGCTCCGACATCCTGCAATCCTGAAGGCTGATCCACGAAACTTCAGGTCTCTGGAGTCTGGGCCGTAGGGTTTGGGGCTATAAGGAGAGGTCCGAGTGAGACTGCGGTCTCTTTCAGGTCCAGCTGTTATGAGGAGGGGGGGAAACTCTTGGGCTTTGCCTTGCGGTCTCTGCAGCCAAGCAGCGTCTACCACTGTGATGCGGTACTGGTTTGCCTTTTGGATGACCTCCTCCAGAAGATTGTGGGGTTCGGGACTGAAAGAATCGGGCTGTAATTTGCATGTTTACTCCGTTAAGTGCTCGGGTAAGAGCTCCTGTGGTGGAATGCAGAGGCAGCAAAGGTGCTGTGTACAGTGTCGCCATATCTGAATACGAGCCCTGCGACATGCTAATGACACGCAGAATTGTTCTCTGAGCGCTTGCTGAATGAAATCCAGACATCTACACAAACACACACACACACATGAACTCAATGCCCTCAGCGCCCAACCATTTAGTGTGGGTACCCCAAACCCATCCCTTATGATGTCTTCAAAACATAAACCTTGAAACCCACTGCCCCAAACCCTCACGACCTAACACCCCCAAACTCCCTCCCTCTGACTCCTTGCCCTTGTCTTGCAGACGGCCAACCCAAGAGACCAACACCTGCAGGCGGCAGTCAACTGAATAGTGCGCCCACGGTTTAGGGTTTAGGGTTTAGGGTCAGGGTTTAGGGTTTAGGGTTCAGGGTTTAGGGTTTAGGGTTCAGGGTTTAGGGTTTAGGGTTGCATTCATGTAAACATACTTGTCTAGTACCTTAGGGGAACCAAAGGTTAACCTTTGGGGCTTAATAGGGATGAGAGTACCCCCCAAAACGGTCAAAGGTTACCGACTCTACTACCAAGTAACGGCCCTGGGTTTAGAGGTTCGTCTAGTGCTTCTTGGTCTATAGAGTTTCTGGGGTTCAGGAATTCTGTGTTGAGGAGTTTGGCCTACGGCGGTTGCGGGTCCTAGGTTTAAGGGCTTCCGGGTGTTGGTTGTTGTGGCTTAGTCTGTAGTATTGGGGTGGGGCTCGGAAAGCACAGATCATCTTTTTGTTAGGGACTACGTTGGAAGTATTGACTTTTCCGAGATTCTCACGTCAAGTTGCTATGGTGACGATAGGGCCGACTGGGATTCAGGTTCATCTCAGGGTTCAAGGTTCGGTTAAGATTTGACGTTGCAATCGGGTGTGAAGCCTCGGCGATATTGCAACGCCTGAAATCCTAAGTGCTTATGTCATGGGGCCAACCCCGAACCAAAGAAGCCCAAATCCTAGTCATGAGGGCTTCTTCACCTTGCTTGCAAAATGGTGCTTTGTTGTTATGGGGGGGCTGGCCTGCAGCATGCAACAAGGCTTTCTGGCACAGCTCTGTTTACAGTGAGTGGATTGAGAGCGAAAACGATCAAGGCATAAGGATGCTCATACATACTGCTGATCAAATAAATCCTTTCTCTACCTTAAGGACCCTAAACTATGGGAATTATGGTATATTCCTTATCACAGGCAGGCATGCCAGAAGAATGATATGGATACGGACGGTGAATAGCCCTAGAGGTAATGAATAGGACTGAGGGGAGCAATGATTCAAGCCAACAGAAATACTTTGCTAGCAGCTCGTAGACATGAGTCTGGCACGGGCCTTGCAATTCATGATCGAAAAGTCCTGCACAGGTGCCTCTAGGGCGAAGAGAACCTGGCGGCACTGGTCGAGGTGTAGGGCAATCGAGGCTTGGGAACTACGGTGGTCGAAACTAAACCCTAAACCCTGAACGCCTAGACTAAACCCGAAACCCCTAAACTAAACCCCAAACCCTAAACCCTGGAGATAGCTCATGCAAGCGCATCAGCCCCGCGGGCTTAGTCGCGAGCGGTCAGGCGTGGAACTAGGCTGAACTCATGAACTCACGAGACTTCGCCCGAACGCCCGAACTGAAACTAAGCCCCGATGCCCGAAAATCCGAGCCCCAAGACCCCCAAAAAGCCAAGAAAAAAGCCCGAACCCAAAACTCTACCAGCAAAAATTTTGTTACCAAAAACCCAAGCGGCCAAAACCCTAAAGCCCTACAACCCAAGATCGTGAAGCCAAAACAATCGAACCCGACCGCCTGAGCCCCAGAACTCCAAGAGACGAAACGAAACCAAAACTACCAACCAAGTGTAGGGTTTCGGGTTTAGGATCTCGGGTTTAGGTTTAGGGTTGAGGGAAGGTAATTCGATCAACGCACCTAGAAGAAGAAAACCCAAAACGAAACAAGATGGCACGAAAACCCAACATTCCACAACATCCTAAACCCCAGAAGCAACACAACAAAAACACAGCAATCCTTTCAAAGCAGACCCCAACACCACCCTGAGCCCTAAGCCCAAAAGCCGGAACGCATCCCAAAACCCGAAAAGCAAAAGCCCAAAAACCATAAAGCTCCAAAGCCTTAAACCCCAAAGGTGTCCTTCACCCGAGCCCCCCCCCCAGCTTTGAGAGGGTGCCTGGGACTTTTCGACCACATTTCCCCTGGATTCCAGCAGGCAGCCCTTGTCGGCATATGCCTGGGTTTAGGGGTTTAGGGTTTNNTTTAGGGTTTAGGGTTTGGGATCTATGGCTTTAGGGTGCGGCCTGGGATTCGGGTAGTGCCGGGATGAAGCCGGTGAGAGCTGCGAGTAAACGTGAGGCTACGCCCTGGGTGCAACCCCTGTAGCACCTGTAGCACCCTGAAAGCCTTAGCTTCTGCCCGAAACCAGCGGCTTTTCTGCTTGAAGCTCCCAGGTTTGTAAAGTTGCTACCTGGTGGCCTGGTCCGAGAAGCCGGCATAGACTCCAGCACCTGTCGGCTTTCGGGATTTAAGGCTTTGGGCTTTGGTACTTCAGGCTCTTGGGGTTTAGAGTCTGGGGTCCAGGGCGAGCCTCTTCCTGCAGCGCTATATCTCCCAACCAAACCACCCTTAAGGAGCCAAAAGCCGTGTCAAAGGCAAATCCTGCCTTTCTCCACGTACACTGCGTATCCGTCCTGTCAAGACCGAGGCAGTCTGAGGCGACAGTCGACAGGTTGGTTCACCAACATCGAAGAGCTGTAAGTTAAGCCGAGGCACCGGATGTTGAGGATGCTTGTGCTGCGCAAGTTTGAGGATTTACGGAAGGTGTTTGTTAGAAAGTCTTTAGGATTCGTTACTTAGGGTGCAGAGTTTCGTCGTTGTCTTCCAGGATTTCAGGGGGGACCTGCTCCGCAACGCTTTAGAAATTAACTAAGCGAGGACCGCGATGTAGGGTTCCGGTTGTGTGTTTAGGGGGCGGCAGTGCAGGAGCAGCCCCTACCTTATACACTCATCTTGACTCCGAAGACAACCCAAAATCATAAGCACTGCAACACATATATATGGTACCCCCCCGCCCCATGTGCCTACCTTCCTCTCTTATTTAACTCGACTTGGACCTCAACCA